TGTGTGTGTGTGTGTGTGAGAGTGTGTGTGTGTGTGTGTGAGAGAGAGAGAGAGAGAGAGAGTGTGTGTGTGTTTTATTTTGGTAACTTTACTTCTGTCAGTGGGATTTGATCATCACACTTCACTTAATTACAAACTATCATTTGTAGAGTTTAAGCAATTCCTCAGTTAATGGATCAATAAGAAAATAAGAGCTCAGCTATTCCTGATAGTCAAGTACTAAACCTGCTTCAGTTTAATATCTTTGGGTATTCAACAGTCAGCTGCACAAAACTAGTTGCAATGAAACATATTTTTACAGTTTTTTAACTCTTTAAATGAAAAAAAAAAGAAGATTTGAGAACATTTCTTTACATTTGAGGAGCCGGAGCCAGGAAATGTTTGACGTTTGTCCCTGATAAATGACAAAACTTGTTGAATCGACTAATCAGCAATGTTTCTGAGCCGATAGTGCAGTAGCTCTCCTCTTCCTGGCGTTTGGTGAATATTGTCCTCTCTCTCTCTCTCTCTCTCTCTCTCGTCAGGTGGATCAGACCCTGTGGCCCGAGCCTACGCCGAGGAGCTGGCCCGGCACGGTATCAGCATCATCTTTGTCACCCAGGACCACACGTCTGTCAGAGACACCGCCGCATCCCTCTCCCAAAGCTACGGCGTGGAAACCGTTGTGGTGCTGGCTGACTTCTCTTTGGACCAGGCGGCCAGCAAACCCATCAAAGAAGCCATGCGGGGTAAAGACATCGGCTTCCTGGTGAACTGCGTGGACGAGTCTTGGGTTTCCCCTCGGAGCCTGGTTGAGATGCCCGAGCAGGGCCTGTTGGATTTGGTGAATAAGAACGTGGCGGTGGCTACGCTGATGGCCCGGTTGGTGCTGCCGGGGATGGTGGAGCGCTGCAGAGGAGCCGTGGTCAATATATCCTCGGGGGCTTGCTGCAGACCCCTGCCTGGAAGAGTGACACTCACCGCCTCCACTGTGAGACAAACCCCTGGAGATACACATCTGTAACCTCTAGAGAGCAGATCTTTTTCCCTTTTTGATTTGGCGTAGTATTAAAAAACACATTTGTCTAAAATGCCTCTGTTCCAAAAAGGTTGATTAATGCTCAAATCTCCAAGCAGAGGAAGTAAAATCCAACTAAACTGTGAGGGTAATGTGTCAGGGGCAGGCTAACGTACTTCCATCCCTCTCATTCTTTCTTTCTCTCTTTCTCTTTCTGCTCCTCATATTTCAGGGCTACCTGGATCATTTCTCAAGAGCTCTTCACCTCGAGTACAGCGGCAAAGGGATTTTTGTCCAGAGTCTGATTCCTTTCCAGGTAGATTTCCTTGATATGACCGTAAGTGGGACTGGGTACTGAACTTAAATACACGTTTGGTGGAAACCGAAAGGTGTCAAGCACCGAAAGCTTCAAATGTTTGATCAGATTCATAATGTCTTTTACCTTTTCTGTGATTAGATTCCTGATTTAAATCACAATTTCTGACTATTTTATCAATATGAACTTCTTGTATTCAGACGTTTGACATCTAAGAAAACTTACGTTTGCTTCTTTTAATGGAAATTAGGGTTTTGTAGAAAAACATGTTCATATTTCTCAAAATAATGATTAAAAATTGAGATTCTAACCCTGTACCAAACCCAATATTAAGATATTTGTCCATCAAGCTGAACTGAATGCAGTGTAATAAAGCAGACCTGCAATAAACCCTTCATTAAGGTCGTAAAGGGATTTTCTGTTATTTAGGCTACCGTCTCCACAGCACCACAGAGTAAAACCTCCATAATGACCGGAAAGTTTAATCTCTAAAACAGATTAAACACAAAAACTTTAAAACATTAAAACCATTCATGAAGGTTATGATACCGGTCTGCTGTATTACGCTGCATTAGTTTCAGCTAGCTGTACCTAATTACCTTGCAGTGTTTTGTACGTTGTATAAAAACACAAAAATGGAGCTTCTGAAAATGAGTCCTCTAAAGTCAAATGTGTTCTGTAATTAAAGGTGATTATTCCTCATAGCTGACAGGTGACATCAGTTTATTCTCTGAGTATAAATCAGTGTGTTTTATAAACAGTATTTGTGTTTGTGTCACCAGATAGCATCAAGTGGCCGACAACCATTTTCATCAAGACAGAGCTGGTTCGCGCCGAAGCCCGAGGTTTACGCTCACCACGCCATCTCCACCCTGGGCGTCTCTAACAGGACCACCGGCTACTGGCCTCACACGCTGCAGGTCGGGACACACAATAAGTCACGGATACATTTTTTTACAGCTGAGTCTGAAACAGTTCTGTGTGATGATGTGTTTCTCTCTGCTGTCTTTTCCTTCGCAGTACGGACTGATGAGATGTATCCCAGAGTGGATTTGGGTTCTTGGAGCGCGTGTGCTCGTCAGTTCGAGCTAAGAGCTCAACCTCTCTGCTCCCTTCGCTGACAGACTGGACCCACTTACTGGATCTTCTCGTTACTGGAGTCAGTGTAGACTGTTAGTTTCTTCCGCCATCCGTGTAAAGTTGTTTAACTCTCAGGCTCTGTCGAGGTTGGTAGTTCAGAGATTTTATTCGAATGATATGGTACCACTTTCGAGGGAAGTTGCAGTGGAATTCGCCTGAAATAATGAATGAATATATATATAAGGATTACTATAGTGTGACGTATAACCTGACGTATACACGTCTTTTGACATTGGAAACTGGGTTTGGCTTTGAGATTGTAAGGTCGTTAATGATTATTGGAGCATAATAATCATTTGGTTTGGTGCCTGGACTTGATGCTTGATAAGATGTTTCCACTCAGATGGTGGCCAACGTGGATCATAAAGGCCTGGTTCATAAAAATATAGAAAAAACAATAGAATGTAGAATTTATTTTTCTGTTTGTTCAAACAAGTTGCACACAGTATAGACGTACAGGTGAGATCAAAAAAATAAAATCATGAGGCAAAGTAAGAAATCCAGTAAACAAACACATAAATATAAATATAGGTAATAAATGCTGATATTCTAACCTAACCTGTATCCTGTAGCGATTCTGTCCTAAAGGATTTGGGTTATAAATGCTCTCTGTGCTTATTGTGTGCTGACATTTGACTTTCCAGTTCATTCTGGTTGTACCTGCTTTCTACCATCACTGTGGGACCACACCTGCAATATACGGCACACACTCAAAGAGCAAAACATCATTAAGTTAAACAGACAGATAGGATCATTCTTCTAAACCTATTTATATTTGAGTGAGCAAAAGCTGCGGATATGTAACATTAAATTACTTCCAAGTACTATAAGGAGTTTTTAACTTTGTGTGAAACAATCTTAATTTAATACTGACGCCTCTGTATGACCTGCATAAAGACCATCAGGGAGAAGATTGGCTGTTTCTTTATAGTTATTCGTAATTTCTGCCACCAGGTCGGATTCAGATGGTCCCGAGGTTGTAGAAACACTACCGCTTTTGTCCACAGGGGTCATCATAATCAAGAAAGTGAAAGGTCCGTGTAGCTGCTTGAAGTGTATTTTTGCAATACTATAACTAAAAATATGTTAATTAAAGGTGGAAAGGACACATTTAACTCTAAATTGTGACCAAAGAAAGCATAAATCTGAATATATTCTTGCAATGTGAATATGCCTTTAGCTTATTTGGCTTGCCAGTGAGGTTTTATAGTGTTTTACAGCAAATAAGTGCGGTGGTGAATGTGGAACGATAGTTTTAGGTGGATGTGGTGTCTTTGCTCCGAGTACAAGGTTCATGCATCTCCAGGAGTGAATTTGAAATGCACTGAAAGAGTGAGAGTGTGATGTTTTACTGAGAAACTATATTTGAGTATATGTAGATATTGCTCCAAAATGAGTATTTATATTTAAAATGTGCAGACATTCAGGTATATTGTGTTGAGTTGTTGCTTACACATACAGTACAGTATATACAAGTGTTGACTTAAATATGATAATGTCTCACCATAGCACAAACTTAGACCAATAAAACTCTTCCTCCATCCTTATACTGTCCTGTCTTTTATATTCTATTATACAGGTTTTAGATAAAAGTGTGTGTCTGTGAAGGTTAGTTTGTTATCTGACTGGTAGGCCTTTAGTTTCCAGTGTATATAACTATATGAAATGACTTATCTATACGCTGAAGGCCACAAACGCCCTGTTTATATCTTAAAACGTCAGGTTGGTGTCAATCATTTACGTCCATGGAGTTCACCCTGCGACCCTTTCAGAGACTGTTTGTAAACCAGATAAACACACGTGATGTGCAAAGCAAACCTGAGCTGCTCTGTGAGGATCAAACAACAAAACCAGAGTCTGTAAATATACTGTAGGTGTAAATATCATCCACACAGACTGTGTCCTCTGGGGCATTTAGTTAATGTTTACATGGAGCTTCTTTATCAGAATATGCTAAAATGAATAAGAAATGAAAGGAAATATAGTTAAACATATATATATATATATATATATAGTTTTTATATATAAATAGGAGATATATAAATATACTTAATAAACATTTATATATCTCCTTTATATATATATGTATAAAGCTCATTTGCATGTAAATAATGTGTCCTAAACTAACAACAGTAGTAAAATACAAAAAGTAGCTGTACAAAATAAATCAGACAAATACAGAATATCTGTAATGGTATTAAAATGATTTTCAAGGTTATTTTTATTGTAATTTACAACACAGGGTTGTGTAAATATAGATATAGTTCCCTTTATGCTACTTGTAAATTGTTTTTATTAGTTCATCATAAAAAAAAAGAAGATTTTGCTGAGGAAGAATTGAGCAGATAGAAATCGTGTTAATCTAAATAGTGATAGAGATACAGTAAACAAAATACTACACTGAAATCTAAAAGTTTAATAGAAACAGGATGTTATAAGAAATCGAGAATGGTATTTCACAATTAATGGAGCATAGTTAGTAGTGTAGTAGAAAAACACTACATGAAGTATAGAGATTAGTAAACTAAAGAGTCTTTGTGAGGTGGACAAGTGAACCTGAGTGAACACACTCACTGCTTGTTGGTCCACTTGCTCAAAATGTTAAATAAACAGCACAAAAGTCGAAAGCTCCAGAAATACGAGTAAATAGACATTGTGATTAAAGGGGGTTCCACGGTCAAGGTCAACTTTAAAACCACGATGGACGAGAAAAAAGACTTCATGTATGTCATATGATAGAAAGCTCCAGAAAAGATACTAAATGGACCTTGTGGTGAAACTTTGTACTTAAATGCAACTTCTTTTTAGTAATTTGGGGTTTTAATGGTGGTGAAGCGCGCTGCCAAACACGCTGGTGACTGTAAAGGCCACAACATTTGATTCACAACATTTGATAGCCAAACATCTGCATTTGTTTCCTCCATTTATTCAGCTTTTCCCTTCAGTTTGTCTTCTGTTGGCAGCCACTGTCCGCTGGTGGAGCAGAAATAAAAGTACCAAAGCAAAGTCTTCTTCCAGCCTCTCACATTCGGTGTTGGGACTGGAGCTTTGTTGTTGTGGTTTGGAGGATGCCATCCTTGCAGATAAGATGCCGAAGGAAACAATGAAAGGACAACTTCTACCTCACTCTCTGTCTTCGTCGTCCTCCTGAGACGTCTCTTGCTTCATCCACCTTTTCTCTCTGTGGGTTTGTTCAACCGGTAAGTTGATTTTAAAATAATAACTTATGTATTCTCTGACTTTTATTATGCAATAATCCATGATGCAATAAATTTATCGTACATAGTTTAAAAAAGATGAATATTTGTGCACAGACATGCTCAGAAACTGGAATTATGTAGTTGTGGAAATTGAATGCAGCAAGAAATTACATTCATAAATGAAAATAAGAAATAAAATAAGTCACTGAATCTATGTGACGTCCATAAAATTTAACTTTTTTATAATTAAATAAATAAATTAAATTGTATAAGCTAACAGTCAAACATTTGATCTTGTAAAATTTACTCACAAAAACAAAAATCCTAAAGTAAAGAACCATAAAAGATAATCTCTAAATAAACTTGTCATTATATAGAAAGGTGGTTCTCAACCTGGGGTGCGGGGACCCCTTAAAATGGGCAATAGTTAAATGACACTATTATTTAATTAACCAGAAGTTAGTCCAAAGAGAGACGGATTATAATGACTATTGTGTTCACAGTTTGCACTGTTTATTTGCCGATCTACAGCTCAGACAGTTATAGAATAATCTGATCAGGTGGGGATCCCTTAGACTACATCCGTCACTTGATGTGTGTCAATTTAGGGACCCTTGACTACCAAAAAGGTTGAGAACCCCTGATGTAAAAGAAAAACCAATGAATGGAGCGAATGCTTATGCAATACCATAAACTTAGCAGCCTTATCAGCTGCAGGCAGGTCAGTGTGTATTTGTACATCAGTGGTTGGGCTCAGTGCAATGGTTGGTATTAACCAAGGTTAAAGTCTTTGGTTTCCAGCAGATAAGTATGTTTTGGAGACTTGGAATCAGCAGCTGTGGCGTCTATCAGAAAACTCACAAGACTCTGAGAAATGATAAAATAAAAGTTTGGCCTTGTGAGAGTCTGACTGTTCTGACTTTTACACCTACAATGATTTCTGTATCACGACAACAAGTCCAATCAAGGGCTCTTACTGAAATTAATAAACCTACAATTCTGTTTGCAAAATATTCTCAAATACTGTAAGTAAACCTTTTATTGCATCAGCCTGTCTGTGGGTCATAATGGATCACTTTCATACTCCACACACAGAAAGCAGGACAACTGGAGACTGAAATGGGTGAATGGGATGTGCTGGGCCGCCTGCTGGATAAAGTGCAGAGCCACTCCACGGTGATCGGCAAGGTCTGGCTCACCGTGCTGTTTGTTTTCCGCATCCTGGTCCTGCGCACCGGCGCTGAGAGGGTCTGTTCACATATATACGTACACCATATTCAAACACACTGCACATGGAGCTCAGGAGTAGAACTATGTACTGTAGCAGGGGAAATGTACTTTTAACCAACACACCTGCAGTAAACATTGTGCACTGTTAAGTTATTGTGTATCATTTCTTTGTAGGTGTGGGGCGATGAGCAGTCCGACTTTGTCTGCAACACTCAGCAGCCCGGCTGTGAGAACGTCTGCTACGACCTCGCCTTCCCCATCTCTCATGTTCGCTTCTGGTTCCTTCAGATTATTGCGGTGGCGACGCCGAAGCTGCTATACCTTGGTCACGTCCTTCATGTGATCCACATTGAGAAGAAGGTGTGTCACCGCAGTGGGTGTAGAATGATAGCGTGACAAGGCAAGCCAGGCATGCCACACCTGTAGTAGCCTATTACTAGATTGTGCTGGGTTTGGTATTTGTGTGTGTCTCAATAAAACAGAATGAGCCAGTGATGGCACTTGTTAACTGGTGAGATAGGATGGTTGTGTGTCTGTCAATTTCCCCCCTACTGGCCAAAGATTGATTAACACAACTTTAAAGTAATACTCATACTTCCTAAATCTATCTTTTCAATACCTACAAGTCACTTTAATAACATTTTGCTATCAAGAACAGTGGCCTTAGAAGAAGAAGAAGATATACTTTTTCTAAGAAAGCTGGCTTAAAGTCAAATTATATTAATGATTCTACGTTTCATGGCAGAAAAAAGACCATAAATACTTCTGAAACTACTCCTGAACTTATCTGCTGATCATCCATTTGCTCATGTGGCTAAAAAGGAGTTAGCGCTGTACAGTTTGGGAGTCTAAATTCTCATAAATTCCTGAACTTCACACTGCTGAGGTTGCTTTTTACAGCTAATAGACCTTTTTCACAGCCGTCATTTAGACATGAAATAGTAGGGTAAACACAGGTGATGCAAATTATACTAATTAAGGGGCCGCTCAGATGTTGCATCTAAAAAAAACGCATGGAAAATGTCAGTTTTATCCTTTTAACCAAGACTCTTGGGAGGTTGCTCAATCGTCGCACCTGTCGTTACTAAGCAACCAAAACCTGCTGTGAAAAAGGTCCATTACTTTTATCTTTTTAATCTGTTTTCCTCCAATCCAAGGTGAAGGAGAGGATGAAGAAGCAGGCCGAGTTGGATGACCAGGCCAGTCTCTTCCTTAGGAGGACCTACAAAGTTCCCAAGTACACCAAGAGCACCGGCAAGATCAGCATCCGCGGGCGTCTCCTTCGCAGTTATGTCCTTCATCTCGTGGCCAAGATCATCCTGGAGGTCTTGTTCATCCTGGGTCAGTTCTTTCTCTACGGTTTCACCCTCCAGACTCGCTACGTCTGCACCCGCTTCCCGTGCCCCCACAAGGTGGACTGCTTCCTGTCCAGGCCTACAGAGAAGTCGGTGATCATCTGGTTCATGCTGGTGGCGGCGGTCGTGTCCCTCGTCCTCAGCGTGGTCGAGTTGTTCTACCTGTGCGTGAAAGGCGTGAAGGAGTGCATGGCGAGGAGGCAGGACTACACCGTGACCCCGGTGACGCCTCCGCTGTCGGGAAGGAAAGCTTTTAAGAGCCGCGGCGAGATGATCCAAAACTGTGTCAACCTGGAGCTGGAGCTCCAAGGGCGAAAGCTGGGGGTGAACGGGGTCACGGGCGGGGTCGTCGAGGTTGCGAAGAACGTGTCGCCTGAGGACAACAACATGGGGGAAGTCCACATCTGACACGTGGAGGCGGTCATAGGTTGTACGTGTCAGATTCAACCCCCAGTTCCTGTATTTGTGTGCTTTGGTTTGTCAGGAAAGTGGTGTGTGTGTGTGTGTGTGTGTGTGTGTGCAGTAAATAAAGATGGAGGGGAGTAACCAGCTTCTGTAAACACGACTCAGTCACATGTAAAATGTTGCTTTATATCAGTGACTTTTGTGACATAATACAAAAATAACTAGCCATGTTTTCTTGCAGTTGACAGACACATTGTAGAGATCATATTCTGATGATGATTGATGATTATTTTAGATGCTGTTACAGTTTTTTTATACAATAAATCTCTGGATCTTTACCTGATGTCCTTTTCTAACCGTGTGGTCATGTTTCCGCTGTAAATCAAAATTTTCAAACGTCTGCAGCCTTTCATTAATCTATCACATAATGCTTACAGAGCATTTAGTTAATTATGTGCTGATGCAGTTTTTAAACTTTGTAATCATTAATGTGCCGCTGAGAATACATGAACCAGCAGAGTTTATATTTCTGAATGACTTTTTAAACAAGCTGCCATTAGCAAACATCTTATTCCTTTTAACAGTTTGTTCATCATAAAAGTTAACATTAATTTAATTATAAAAGTGGATTTTAATCATCATAAGTCTTTTCATCATAAGACAAATTTTTGTTACAGTTACTATTGTTTTGGGTAGTAATTGTTAAAGTAATGTAATATATACTAGTACTGTTGGCAGGGAGTAAAGTAATAATATTACTTTTTAAAAGACTAATGAGTCAGAAATAAAAAACTTTGACACTAATGAGAAGGTAAATAGGAAGTCAGAGTGGGTGATTATTAATTCACAATAAAGTCAATAAAGTGTTTCAGCGTGATGCACCAAACTTAAATTAGCCCCAGATGGAAGAACTACAACTACACATCTATTTATCATTAAACACATTTTACAGATGAGCAGTAGTTTTATTTATCCTTGTTTTATTATTATTTATCTGTTTACTTTCAAACATTCAAGGCCCTTTGACAAAGAAAGATTGCGATACTGAACAGCTGTCAATTATTACACACCTGTCCCCCCCCTCGGTCTGACGGGTACAACGTGACATCAGTGCCAGATGTGTGTTGCTTAACTCCAAGGTCTAACTTCAAGTTAGCGATCCGTCCCAACCGCAGACAGTCCTTTCTGACCAGGTCAGCAGGTAAGATGCAACGATTATTCTTCTCTGCCTCACAGAACGGATCATTTGGCAAATTTAACCAATATAGTTTATATAGCACTGTAGGTAATGGGAATGTAGAGTCATTTCTTTCTTTTTAAATACACTTTTGCAAGAAATTGATGTCTTTTTATTCTGCTTTTGAATGTTAGTGACATTGTCTTATTTTCTTATGTGTAACGAATGATGGCATCAGATTGCTTTTCATGTTTTTTTACTTTTAAGACACACGTTTAATATTTTTATTTTATAAATATCACCTTGTTATACAGGTGGTTTTTAAATGTTCCCATTTCTCTTCTTTCATAGTTTTACTCTATTCCAGCCTATTACTTCCACTATGTCTAATTACTGTAAAGCTACTGAGTTTGTCTGTTTGTTTTTTTTCTGTTTAAAATTCTGATGAATGATTATTGAAGGAAAATATTGAGCAACTGGCTCAGGAGATCCTCTCACCTCTCAAGTAGCCAGGTTCAATAACACAAAAGGTGATTTATCTAAATTAAAAAGAACAATGAGCGTCTTTCTTCCAACCGCAGCATTATTGATCGACCACTGAGTCGTGGTTTGGGTTAGTAAGGTGTGGTGAACGATCGCTGCAAACCAACTTATGAACTCATTTCTTTTTATCTTTTCTATCACAGATCAGTAACTGAACAAGAAAAGATGGGAGACTGGGGATTTCTGTCAACCTTGCTGGACAAGGTCCAGTCGCACTCTACAGTGATCGGGAAGATCTGGATGAGCGTCCTGTTCCTGTTCAGGATCATGGTTTTGGGCGCGGGTGCTGAGAGCGTCTGGGGAGACGAGCAGTCGGGTTTCACCTGCAACACTCAGCAACCTGGTTGTGAGAACGTCTGCTACGATTGGACCTTCCCCATCTCGCACATTCGCTTCTGGGTCCTCCAGATCATCTTCGTCTCCACGCCGACACTGGTCTACCTGGGCCACGCCATGCACATCATCCAGAAGGAGAACAAGCTGAGGGAGCAGCTTTCGAGCCCCGCTGGGACCAGGCTGGTCAAAATGCCCAAATACACGGACGAAAGGGGAAAGGTGAAGATCAAGGGGAACCTGCTCGGGAGCTACCTGACCCAGCTCGTGGTCAAGATCCTCATTGAGGCCGCCTTCATCGTGGGCCAGTACTACCTGTACGGCTTCATCATGGTCCCCATGTTCCCCTGCTCCAAGAAGCCCTGTCCCTTCACCGTGGAGTGCTACATGTCCCGACCCACAGAGAAGACCATCTTCATCATCTTCATGCTGGTGGTGGCCTGCGTCTCTCTGCTTCTCAACTTCATCGAGGTGTTCTACCTGCTCTGTACCCGGGTCAGGTGCGGGTCCAGGGGTCGCACCCACAAGGTCACGTCGGCGGAGAACCCCGCCAGCCTGTCGGCTCCCAGGTGGCCGACTGTGGAGGACTCACTCAAGCAGAACAAGATGAACATAGAGCTAGAGAGCAGCCAGAGCATCGGAGGAAGCCTGGACGGGGCCAAAGAGGAGAAACGACTACTGAGTGGTCATTAAAAGTTTTTCTTCTCCGCGGTTCCTCGTTCAGATACTTAAAAGAGACTGAAGAGAAGAGTTCTCACTATGTATGTGTGCAAATCACGACAGAACATCAGGAAAGCTTTATCATTGTGTAGCGAAGTGATATTCATGCTGATAAAAAGTTTTTAGGGCCACATTTTGAGAATTTTACATTTATTTTGTGTTCTTTAACTGGAAATCTAACAATGGAAAACGTGCAATATTGATAAAGTATTTATGTTCTTTTGTTAATCTAACTGTCCCCAGTTATTGAATGTGTCCTTTAACTTATTGCCATGTTCATTATCTAGGACTAATAAATAATTTACTCAGTGAATGATGATGATGATGATTGAGTCTGTTTCTACTGTGTGTAGTAGATATTTTTGTAAGCTGTATTTGTTTTTAATAAATGATTCAATTTGGATAAAAACACTGTTTCGTCACTATATTCATGATTTTCAGATGACAGGCAGGTCTACACTTCAAAGTCACAACACCTTACTTTTTTACTCTCTGCTGCATTTAATGATTATTTTCATTATTAATTAGTCCACCAGTCAGCTACATCAACTGATTACATGTGTAATTGTTGAAATTGTCCATCACAGCTTCCTAGAGCCCATATTGACCTCAAATACAGTCCAAAATCACAAAGTTACCAGTAAAATATTACAGAAGAGTGAGAGAACTAAAGCTATTTCTGCTTACAAATCACTACAATGATTAATTGCTATCAATTAGTGAGTGACTCATCCATTAATCGTTCCTTGCTGTATCTTTAGAATAGGGAGTGGTTGATGAGTTAGCAGATATTAGTCACCACCGCTGTTTCCAGTGAGTTTAGATAAAGACAATTACATCAGAGGAACAATATAAAGACTCAACCCAAATGACTTATTCAGGGGATCAAATGCATCCATAAAAGGGGCTACACAATAAAAATCACGAGGACCTGCTCAACATATTTCAATTCAATACAAAATCCCTACAACAAAAGCATCATTGTGAAGCTTATAATATTAGATTTGCTCCATTTGTTCAGACTTTGCTTGAGCAAGTCAAGAAAAACAACTTTCTATTGACACAGTCTCAACAAAAAAATTAACATGACTGTTCAATCCTCACGTAGTATTCATTGTTCAGGTTACTGTGTCCTTTAGCCCCCGACTCTTTCACAAAAATACTTTCTATAAAGATCAAAATACCAAAGGAGGAGAAGTTTTAGTGATTTGTTTTACTGGTGTTTAACTATAAAACAGCATCACTACAAAGGTCCCACAGTGATAATAACGAACAATGGCATAAAACTGCTGTAGGAGTACAACTGCCAATCATTAACCTGAACAATCTTGTCAGTGCTCAGCCCCAAAATTGTCCTCTTGAGATTTCCAAATGTCATGACAACGTGACAGCTCACCATGTTGCACAAGTTGATCTGATCTAAAGTTCAAGGTACCGTAGCAGGTTTGATTCGGTGCACTCGGCTCTCTATCACTCAGCTCCACAGTACAGACTGGTGTGTTTGTCTGCACAGAGGCCTTTTAAAACTCAAAGGTAAGGTCTATGATTATTTTATTTTATTTTATTCATTTTAAAATAATGATAATTTAAGTCATGAATTCAAACTTCTATTTTATTATATTACTTTTGGAATAAGATACACACAATCTCAATCATAAGGGTATGTTATAGGATGGATGTTTATCATTATGAGTATAAGTAAAAGCTCTACAGACAGTGATGGACAGACAGACTGATGCATTGTCCATAATCCATTGGGATCAATATTATCTACATATTTCCACATTTTCTTGGACTTCATAACTCTTGGCAATGCTTAAATCTATATTTAAATTTAATTTTCATGAAATAAAGTTAATTTTAAACACATAAAGTGCTTTTCTGCTTATATAAAAATTTATATTTATGGATGCAGCATAGAAACATCTGCACCCTATGAATTCCTCTCTTATCACCATTATCTTTGTTGTGAAAGTGACTTTAACTGCCTCTTTACCTTCTGAACATCTATACTGTTCTGTAGATTAGAGGGTTTTAGATTAGAAGTGTGATAGTGTCTCCGACCCAAAACAGACTTTCTGCTGTCGCTGACAATGTTTTACCTTTAGTGTTAATCAATAATCACAAACCACAGCACCCTATGTATAACAGAATGTTTTAAAAAATACTTTTCTGCTTTGCATAATATGGAAAATAAAGTATAACAGATTAATTAGACACCAATCAATAGCAATGAGAATTTCTTTCATGCATTTTCTCTAATTTGGCTTCTGCTTTTTAAAGATTTAATACCAATTTAATATTGTTTATGAGGGTTGCTATTGATACATTTGGAAACTATTCCGCAAATAATAACAGTTTTTTCCATTGTTTTGTCTCTATACTGTATTTCTGGTTAATTGAATAGTAGCTGTCTATTTAATATCAGGGTTTGTCCATTAGCAATATTATAAATAACTAAACGAGAACAAAAGAAGTCTCAGGTGAAACATTTCTCCCGTGTCTCCATCTGACTTCAGGTTTTAGATCATTCACAGATTAATTAAAATGTCTGAATTATTAATGTTTCCATCCGATCAGAGACAATGGGAGACTGGGGTTTTCTGTCCAAGCTGCTGGAAAAGGTCCAGTCCCACTCCTCTGTCATCGGGAAGGTCTGGCTCAGCGTGCTGTTCATCTTCAGGATCATGGTCCTCGGAGCTGGAGCAGATAAGGTCTCCTTCTTTCTTCATACTTTATTGTTTTTCTAGTATTATACCTACTCACTATATACTTACTATATACTAACTATAAGTGATGAATCTCTTGAGTTACTTTCCTGAGACGTTAGAGTCTTTCAGGTGAATTAACACCGCCTGGTGGCCATAATGGAGGTCCACAGCTGAGCAACAGGAGCTTTTAAAACCAGATTCAGCTTTGATAACAAATTGCCAGGATTTGTATTAATAGTGAGACATTTTTGTTATATTGAAACATTTTAAAATTATTATTAAATCAGTTTGTCCATCCATGTTATGCACTGCGTATCCTTTAAAGC